TTTACGTTTAGGGAATTGCTGTTGTGAGTTTGTTGGCTGCGGTTTGAATCGCAAATGGCGAATTTTGTAACACTTCTTGGGTTGACAATAAAGGAATTGTTTGTAAAAGTGAAGGAAACGAGTTCGAATAAAAATCTACAGTAATGTCTTTAAAAGAGGAATTAAAATTAAGAATAAAAAGTTTAAAGCAGAAACAGAAAAAAATAAAGTAATTGTTGGTTGAAGAAATAATTTGTGAAATTATATTATATATTTCCAGTTCCGAAAAAAGTTTTCATACTAGTATTAAAATTTATTTTGTAGCAAGAAAATCTGTCCATGAATAAGCCTTTAAGGCGCACAGGTTGAAAGAACGACGCAGTAAAGAACATGTAGTCGCTGTTATCTTTAAATATTTATATCTAGACACACGCGAACCAAATCCCAGAGCTAATTTAGAGGCATTCCAGCTGGCGTCGAGGGGTCTCATAAAAATGTACCGAACACTGAAGCAATATGAAATATAACAGAATAAAATACATACGAAGGGAAAACATCTCAAGGCCGTTTGTCAAAACATCCTCAATGTTGTGAGCGATATAAAATTATTATTAGATTGGTATTATTAAAGTCACGGAGTTTCAGATTTATGACATGTTCGTGTCCAATACAATAGGAGTTTGGTGTTTGTGATATATTAAAAAGGATATGAACAGTTCAGTTCGTCCTACCATGTTTTTTTGGTAAATCCTTATGGATTATACCAGGATTTATAATCCTAGACAGGTTGAAAAGTACCTTTTGCATGTTGATTAATATTTTCGAGTTCCTGATAGAGGAACTAGACACAAAACTTGATCAATATTAACGTGGTATATTAGTGTTTATAATTTTTGAAAACTGGGGATCTGTTAGTAAACATTTTAAAGGAGTCTTTTACTATATGTGTTAGTTAAACAAAGTTTTATAGAAAATTTTGTTAATGTACAATGTTTACTGTATAAAGACGGAGGTAATTTGTAATATGGCCTCATCGTTCAAAGGTGGCGTTCACACTTAGTAAGTTAACCGATCTGTTGCCCCTCGAACTACTTTATTTGTTTAGGCCACAACAAATAGCTCCGCTAAAACTTTCTATGGGAAAAGCCTCAAATTGTATCTACAACTCCTGTATTGTTTAATCAAAAGCGAGCCGGGAATATGTTTAAAGAGTTTGATCTTTTGTTATACCTACAATAGTATAAGAGTTCAGTCTGATAAAAACAACAATATATTCTAATAGTGATATTTATAAAATCGCTAAATAAATCCTTAAATCTAATAATATAAAAAGACAAAAAAAAAAATTCTTATATATATTGAAATAACTCAAAAACTACTGGGCCCTATTTAAAAAAATCGTTCACCATTAAAAAGCTACGTTATTAATGAGTTACAAAGGTTGTATTAATACTTTGACTACTCTCACTTCGTACTAGAAATCATATTGAAAATGTATATTTTTTCAAGTATACAAGATTCTTGTGGTTTAGCAAGAGTTGTATAAAAATGAAAGTCGGAAAAGCTTCTGTAAGTACGACAAAAGCGTAGTAAGTATCACTCAAATATCGTGTGACATTTGCAAGAGTCGGTGAAGGAAATGAGAGGAAATCAAGTCGCAAGGCGCACTCCGGGGACCTCTACGGTACTCCGCCACTCTTGATGGATGCGATCATTGCCTTCATTAATTTTTTATCACGCTCCCGAAACATTGTTTTACATTTTTTTTGGAGAACGTCATTTGGGAACGTTCTATTGTGTCTTCTAATGTGAACTAAATTAATGTTCAAAAAGGTATTAATTCAGAAGTTGGACTAAAAATAAAATTAATTAAATCTTTCAGTTTCATTGTACAACATTTCTGTTTCTTACTGTTGCTTTGACTTTTTTGATATTTTTTTTTATAATATAAGGTGGCAAACGAGCAAGCGGCCACTTGAATCCACCAAAATGGAAAGCGACCGCTGCCCATAAACATCCGAAATTGCAGATGCGTT